AATATTTTAATGTAATGTTTTAATACAATTATATATGTATGTAAGAGGTAAATATTGTCTTTTCTAATGGACGCGGGCGCGGCGCGCTGTCTACGTACATCATAAATATAGTATTATAGTGAGGCGCGTATGATCTTATTACATATGGTTAAGTTTTGCTCTTAATCCATTCAATCTACGAAAAAATTGTATAGAACCATATCGATTTGAAATTTTATTAGCTACATTTTTGTATAGAAGTACTTTTGAGATAAATTTAGTATTTTCAAAGATAATTTAATAAACGTGAAAAATCGCACTTAAAATCTAAGATGGCGGAAACTTCCGGACCTATGAGGGATGGCGAATTTTTTTAGGTGAATCAGGAGCCTATAACCTAACTTTTTGCAAAGTTTCAAAACTTTCCGATTTAATTCCACCAAAAATCGTTTAATGACTGGACTCGTTGGTAGTTTCTCTAAATCAAATAGGAAACCTCGGTGCCTAATGTAAATATTGCCCAACCATCTATATCCCGTTGTCCCCTTAGAATACTTTCGTCGGCCATTTAGGCTCAACTCCTAAATAGCCACGTAACGCATGCATTTATAAATTTTGTTTTACCCATTTTAATAGCACTCAAGCTTGTAAAACTTTGTTGTTGAAATATACATTAGAGTAGAAACGTTTTTCTTTTTAAGAGTAGTAAACGCTCTAATTTCCCCCAACCTGTAACGCCAGTTAGAACACATTACCAACAATTCAAGCCTATTAATAAAAATGTGTACTAGCTATTAATGTGTTTGGAATAACTTTAAAAATTTATAAATGCAAACAAATATGAATTCTATTTATAAACTAGTTAAGTATACAAGTGTTCAGTAAGTAAAGAATCAAATCAATTCTTATAAACAATGAGAACAATAGAAACCCGTCACTTACTGAACACTCTAATGTGATATCATTTTTAAAAATAAAGTTGATATCTCTAGTATACATATACGGGATGAATCGAAAAAGTGCTTAGTAATTGATAATCAAGAAATATACGTTACTAAAATAATCAAAAAAATATTTCTGAAATTATTTTTATTTTATAAGTAATCTGAGTCAGTGGCGTGCCCAGGGGGGGGTGGGTTAGAGGTCATATCCCTCCCCATTTCGTTTTTTTTCTAGCATTGAGTACTTAACAGCAAAAATTGAATAAAGTTGTAATTATTACATTGTATATTTGTATAACAACATTACATTATATCATACAAAACACAAAATATTAATAAATATTTTAATGAGGCTTGACCTCTAAAGCCCCCTCATTAATCTTTTTCTAATATTTTCACCCCTATTAAATGTATTTAGTTGTATTAATACCTATTAGATAAGACATCTCTCCCCATTTAAAATTCTTGGGCACGCCACTGATCTGCGTACTTAATTTAATTTATAAGTGATTTAATATAAACGAATAATTTTGTATGTGGAGGTTGAAGCAAATGTGCTGTAAATTAAATATAATAAATTTTCAGAATAGTCATTTGAAATATTTTAATTCTTTATGAAATAATATATTTTTGATTTAGATAATGCAATAATATTGCCTCAAAAAATTATTTTACTGTATCGTTTATTTACATGATATTTGGAAGACTATTTTTAGTTTACACTCATATAAAATTAGTATTTATCTAAATATGACGTACTATATCCAGAATTAACCTATCAAATATAAAAACAGTGTTCACTTGTCCAATTTTTGTTTATTTAAAAAAAAATTAAAATATTTTATAATTTTTATTGTAAATTGGTGGTATTAAACTTTATATCATTTTACTGCATACAAATTATAATGGTTGGGAAGATCACACTATTTAGTATAAAGGAAGCGAATCATACAAAATATATTAAGACACCAACTGAATAAATTTGACGAATTAAAAAAAAAATAAGAAAAAGATTATGATTGTTGTTTGGGAATGTACAATTTAGCGTTTAGTTGAGTTTAAACAATATAGTGTCAAATCAATTACCTACTCTATCGGTTGTATCTTAATATACACTACACTTAAATGATACTATAAATAAATAAACTCACACATACACACATATGCATTTATAACATTGTGTCTAATGTATAACATGATAAAAAGTAACCGTAAAATGAAAAACCCAGCACAGGGGGTCGCGGCACAGTGGTGACGTGGCATAGATGGATCAAGTATAATGATATCTGACAGTGATTAAAATCACTAACAAAAAAAAAAGCTTCGATGCAAATCTTTAGATAGTGTTTAATTTAAAAAAATTGGTGTATTATTCCAAAAGCCACATGATCTGCTAGTTCCTTATTAATATCCTGATTAAGATATAGTATGTCAAATGAAAAAGAGATTATTAAATAATATTATTAAAAATTGTATTGATCCATATATTTTTTAAAAAGTTGTAGCATTTTAAAGTAAAAAATGTAAATTATAAAATCGAGAATTTTCACACAAAAATAGCATTCGGTAGGCATTTTCACCATGAAGACAAGTCCAAAGGTCAAATTTTTTTTACATTACATTAGCTTTAATTTAAGATATATATAAAAATGTCAGACCTTCCGGAACATTTTCAAAAGTTAAGTTGAAAAAGTTGTCATTTTAAATCCCCCCCTGTGGGCAGATAAAGGGTCATATTTACTAAAAAAATATACCAAATGATAGGTAAAGACATCAAACATCTATAAAAAAAAAATTATATTGATATGTTCATTTTTGAAAAAGTTACAGCACATTTTAGTAAAAAAAATTGAAAAAATTTCGAAAATTAGCGATTTTTAAATTTGTAATTTTTTTGGAGGTTTCCCCCATTTACGGGGAAAGAGGGAAATTTTTTCAATTTTTAAGGGTAATGTCTTCGACTAGATATGATTTGTGATCTTTTGACGTATCGTTGAAAGAAATCCGTTCGGTGAGAGCTGAGAAAAAGTGGTGACAGACACAAAAAAAAAAAAAAACGCATCATAGTAAAACCAATACCTTCTCAGCTTCGCATCGAAGCTAAAATAAAAGCAAAATATTAAATTAAAAACAGAAAGAATTAGATTTTCAAAAGTTGAAAAAGTAATTATTTCGGTTTATAGTAAGCGTTTATCATCAAACAAGCAGATGGACATCATTAAATTATCAATCTTGAAGAACTAGAACTACTTTAAATAATGATAAAGATAACTACCCCTTCAATGATTAATTTTAGACTTAAACATTTTTAAGTATTATCATTAATTTAAAAAAACGTACTATCAAGAACTTCTTGTGGTATCGGTACATCAATCATCTGAATTTCTGGGTTAAAATAGAAGCCTAACTTGTAATACTTTTCTATAACAATCTTCTTAATTTCGTTATCTAGTTTTTTCTTCAAATTTTCAAAATTAAAATTTTTTTTTTGGTTATTTTTTATTGTATATACTTTCTTATAATCTTCCGTTTTTGCACTGGGAATTTTAAAGTGACATATTTTTGGTTTTACTTGTATTTCACGATTAATATCTTCTATCATATTCGGAAATATAAATTTAATGTTTTCTAAGATTTGATTACAAGTATTTGGATTATTTTCTGAAGGAGCTTCACGAAAAATAGTATTTTCTACTTTTTGTAAACTTGACAAATAACAATATAATATATAATCATCTAATGTGGATTTTAAAGGAGTACCATATAACGCATCTAAAGAAATCAACGATTCTTTCATGACTGTTGCCAATAAAGTTATTTTCTTAATTATTTTCAATAAATCACTTGTGCATTCATAGGGATCTTTTTCTTGAATAAAAACTCCTTGACATTCATGACAATAATAAATAACCATAGAAAATATTTTTTTTAAATCATTAGCGTATGTACAAAGTAGAAATAAAGCAGCGGCTTGCACTTTTTTATTGCTCGAAAATCTATCGGAATTTATAGTAATATGACTAAACTCAAATGTTTGTTTATCATATTTTACAGACTCTACGTCAGTAAAATGTTGCCATCCATCATTTTCGCAAATGCTATTAATAATTGCTGCATTTCTTTGCGTAGAAACATTTGGAGCTCCAACAAACACAACAATTACGTATAGTAATAAAACACAAAATTCATGCAACTTAATGGAAAACATTTTATCGTATTCAGAAAAATAAAAACATAAATTTCTCACTATAAAATAATTTTTCCTTATTAATAAAAATTGTGAAGAAAATTCTCAGAAGTTTAAAATTATATAAAACGTTAAATACCTATTGTGTAAACAACATCTATTTAACTATAGTATTTTAACTTTATTTAAATTTGTGTATATTTATTAATAATCTAAATTTTATTACCAAAAGAATTTAGGTTAGTTTTAAATTTTAAATGACGTTTAAAAAGATAAAATTCTAATATTTCATGTGTTCATACATAATTTTAAATCATTCATTGTATACTTTTAAGTATTTTTGAAGTAACTTTTCAAATAATTTCAAAAAAAATATTTAAAATACCATTTTAATTTTTATCGTTTTTATTTGTTACTTATTTATATAATGTAGTCAGACAGTCTATCAATCATTTTCATGTACTTTTTAAAGTGACTATAGAATTATTGATGTACAGAAAGTCCTAGTTAAGTTTTTAATGTCAAAATGAGACTGACTACATTTTTTATCACAAGTCATATTGGCTTTAAATATATACTGTCAGTACTAGTGTGGCTGATAAGGCTGTATCATAATACATACTTAAAATATTTAATTTCTCATCAGTTTATCTCTTTCAAAAAATCATTATTTTGTTAATGAAAACTTTAACAAGCCAAAAAAAAAAAAAGATAAAAATCTATCAAATTAAATGCCCTTAACAGAAAAATTAGATAAGGATAATAATCCGGTTTAAAAAAAAAGTGTGTCGTATAAAAGTTATATATATATAATTTATTTAGAAACAAAAATTTATATTGATCCATACATTTTTCAAAAAATTATAATAATTTTAAGTTGAAAAAATAAAATATAAAATCGTAAATTTTAATACTAAAATTGCATGTTTTTATATCTACGGCAACTATTTTCACATAGAAAATAAGTAGTCGGGACAAAATTTTTTTTTTAACTTATAGTATATAACATTAGCTATATTTTAACATATGTTTGAAGCTCGGAGTATTTCCGGAACATTTTCAAAACTTTAGTTGAAAATGTTAAATTTTTGTGCAGAAGTTTCTATTTTGAATCCCCCCTGTGGGCAGGTAAAGGGTCAAATTTTCAAAAAAATTTTATAATATGAAAGGCAAATATCTAACGTTTTAATAATAAAAAAAATTAGGTTGATATGTTAATTTTAAGAAAAAAAAGACGAAATTTACCGATTTAAAAAATTTTAATATTTTTGGAGATATCCTTTATTTACGGGGAACGAGGGATTTTTTTTCAAATTTTAAGCGTAATGTCTAAAATAAATACTATTTGTGATATTTTGACATATTGTTCATCAAAATCGGTCCAGTGAAAGCTGAGAAAAAGTGACAACAGACACAAAAAAAAAACACATCATGTTAAAATTAATACATTCTCAGCTTCCCAACGTAGCTGAAATTAATAAATAAACACATCATTCGCTTCGAAGCTAATAATATGTATTATTAATAGTTAAATTTATAAATTACCGAATTTTAGCTTCGATGCGAAGATGAGAAGGTATTAATTTTACCATGATGTGTTTATTTTTTTTTTTGTGTCTGTCACTACTATTTCTCAGCTCTCACTGGACCGATTTCTTTTAACAATACGTCAAAAGATCACAAATTGTATCTAGTTGAAGACATTACCCTTAAAAATTTAAAAATTTTCCCTCGTTCCCCGCAAATGGGGGAAATATCCAAAAAAATTACAAATTTAAAAATTGACAAATTTTGTCATTTTTTTCACTTTTTTTTCTTAAAACTTCCATAACTTTTTCAAAAATCAACAAATCAACATAATTTTTTTTTAAACTAAAACCTTAGATAATTTCCTTTCATTTGATATCATTTTTTTTTGAAAATCTAACACTTATTCTGCTCACAGGGGGGATTTAATAAAATAGAAACTTTTTTACAAAAACTAACTTTTTCAACTTAATTTTTGAAAATGTTCCGGATATACTGCGTCCTTTAAACATATATCAAATTAAAGCTTATTTTATGTACTATAAAATGAAAAAAAAAAATTTGTCCCGACAATCTATCTTCTATACGCAAATGGCTACCATATTGAAAAATATACTATTTTTGTATGATAATTATGGGTTTTGTATTTTATTTTAATAGAAGTTGATGTTGCTTTTGCAATTATCCATCAATTTTTTAAAATTAAACACTATCTACAGATTTGCATCGAAGCGTTTCTTATGATAGTGATTTTAATCACTGTCAGATTAAATCTATACTGGACCCTACTATGCAATGTCTCCACTGTGCCTCGACCCCACTGTGCTACCGTTTTTTTTTGTATTTTTTTACTGAATGGTTTTATTTTAAAGTAATTAAAGTAATGATATAATATAATCTTAAATCTCAATACACCATATTATCTTTGTTAAAAATATTTAAGACTTACTAATTTTAGCTTCGATGCGAAGCTGAGAAGGTATTAATTTTACCATGATGTGTTTATTTTTTTTTTTGTGTCTGTCACTACTTTTTCTCAGCTCTCACTGGACCGATTTCTTTTAACAATACGTCAAAAGATCACAAATTGTATCTAGTTGAAGACATTACCCTTAAAAATTTAAAAATTTTCCCTCGTTCCCCGCAAATGGGGGAAATATCCAAAAAAATTACAAATTTAAAAATTGACAAATTTTGTCATTTTTTTCACTTTTTTTTCTTAAAACTTACATAACTTTTTCAAAAATCAACAAATCAACATAATTTTTTTTTAAACTAAAACCTTAGATAATTTCCTTTCATTTGATATCATTTTTTTTTGAAAATCTAACACTTATTCTGCTCACAGGGGGGATTTAATAAAATAGAAACTTTTTTACAAAAACTAACTTTTTCAACTTAATTTTTGAAAATGTTCCGGATATACTGCGTCCTTTAAACATAAATCAAATTAAAGCTTATTTTATGTAATACTAAATGAAAAAAAAAAATTTATCCCGACGACCTATATTCTATGCGCAAAAGGCTACCGTATTCAAAAATATGCAATTTTTTTATTAAAATTCTGGGTTTTGTATTTTATTTTATTTTAAAATATCTTATTAGGGGAATAAACTGACTTTCATGAATATTATATAATATCATTGACATAGAATAAAGTTCATAAGACATATGAAATTATACTTATTAAAATTTTTTTACTTTTTTAAAGTCGAAAAAGTAATTTTTAAATTTGAGTTAGCTTAAATAGCCAATTTTATCATACAACAAAAAGCAACGAACAGTTGCCGATTGGGTAACATCTTGATCTTTCACGCCTAGGGTACGAGGTTCAAATGCGTCTGTGACTTCTAAAATTTTGCATTTTTTTTTTTAAGTTAAAATAGAATTTTCAAATCATTTGATATCTATCTCATTTAGATTCAATAATTTCAATAAATATAAAGGATCTTATCACTATAGTCTTCCCTCCTGAGAAGAAATTGATATTCATGTTAATATTATTTTACTGTGGTTCTTTTGTGGCTACGATTTATTTTGCCAACCCTCACTAGACCTAGTTTTTTCAACGATACGTCAAATGATTCATTTAAGTTTATGATATTTAAGTTATTACTCTTAAAAATCAAAAAAAATATTCCTTATTCAAATAAAAAGTAGCTTAACCAGCTTTTTCCATACAAACAATTAAAATCATGAATTTTTAATATTCTTAAAGGATTTATTGTCGAATTAGATTTGATATGATAAAAGTATTCAACTACAAAAGTAAATAATTTTACTTTATAATTTATTAATTTTTTAACTCTATTTATGTGTGCTACTACCAGTCTATAATATGCCAAATTTTTTTGTAATATGTTGCTATATAAATCATAAATTTAAAAAAAAAATGATTTTTAGTTTCACCTGAAGTTAACGATGGATTTTTACAATTATAATTATATTTTTGATAATACGCTCAATTGAGTAAATATTTTTAACTACTTTGGTTTGATTGGTTCATTTAATTAAAGTAAATTATTAAAATTAATTAAGTTCTGAATATTTCAATTGCAGAATTTTTTTTAACACCAAAAGTTATTAGGATATGATTACTATTCTTTCTATTTCAGTTATCTATTACGATAAAAATGTAAAAAAATCGAATTTTTCTGACAAATGTACTGTAATTAGTAATTATAAAATTTCCAGATTGCATATTAATCTTAAAAATTTCATNGTAATTATAAAATTTCTAGATTGCATATTAATCTTAAAAATTTCATGTTTTTCAATTTAATAATGTCAATTTCAAACTTGCAAGTTGAACTATAAGTTATGGTAACAAATTCATTTTTTAGCTTCGATGCGAAGCTGAGAAGGTATTTTTCATTAAAACTTTCACTTTAAAAGACAATAAAAAATAGGTTCAAAATGATTACCTTTAACATATTAAAAATCAAAATCAGTATTAATTTAATACAATTTTTTTTGTTCTTAATTATTTTTTTTTATATGTAAATACTTATTTTTTAATAATAAGTAATAATATTAAAACTTAGAAGTAATAGAAAAAGTTTAATTGCACATTTGAAAACATCACGAAAAGTTTATTTAGAAAAGTATATTTTTTTTCTGATGAAAGTTCCTTTTGTTTAGTGTATTTATTCATAAATAACAAAATTTTTTTATTAAAAAGTATTGCATCAATTCCTTTAAATTTGTATACGCATTAAAAGTATATGAATATACAACTCCTTTTTATTTTTATAATATCTCCGTAAAAATTACAATATTATATTATTGAATACCACTTTCATACTCAATTTAATTACTGTAATTATTATGTATTCATATATTATAATTATAAATCGGGGTAAAATTAAGGGAATAAGTGTTATTGTTGTTTTTGAAATAATCTACCAATTTCATTTTTTTCTATTTAATGATATTATTTCAAACTTGCAAGTTGAGTTAAAAGTTATGGTAATAAATTCATTTTTTTTTTTATTAAAACTTTCATTTTACAGGACAAAAAGAAGTTGGTTCAAAATTATTACTTTTAATATATTAAAAATCGATAATAATTTGAAAATAATTAATTATAAAAATTATATATTATATAATTAAACGAATTACTAATCTGGATATAATTAAGGAAATAGGAGTTGATGTTGGGTTGAGTTTTGAGTTTTAGTCATTAAATTTTTGCCCCCATGTAAAAAATAGTTCCGGCACCTCTGAGTTACATTAACTTTTTTAGAACTACATCAATCAAATACGCTGCAGCATTGAATTCATTATTTCTAATTTTAATCAATATGCCTACCCAACCAAACCTATAAATTTATGAAATTATTAATTTTTCAAATATTTTATAAATGCCCTGGTGTTTTATTAGAAGATTCCATTTAGGAGTACAGTCTATTAAACTATATTGTATCGTTTTTCCGAAATTGGAATATATACGAATACTACATTATATTTGACAAACATTTAGAGATACGAATACATCTTATATACAAAAATCGTTTATTATTTAATTATTAACAAATTCTTTGAGAATTTTTAGTCCATGTGTTATACAGTATATTACAATTTATTTTATACTCTTTTTGTGATTTATTTTTGTATATATTATAATCAGTCACCCCAGTATACATAAATGTTGTTATAACTGTTTGATGTCATAACTGTATTTTTGGTGGTCGTGGTCGGGGGGGGAGTCATACGGAGGGCGTGGTTTCTCGATTGTGGGGGTAATGACCGTTGTCAAGGTCACACAGTTGCCACGGGGGCAGTCCTCTTGGAGGTAAGGGGGTCAGCGGAACAAGCGGACCTTCTGGCGGCCAGGTTAAAGGCGGCCCTGCAGGAGATGGACGTGCGGGTACAACGTCCCTCGATGACCTGCACCGTCCTCCTCCTGGATGTGGAGGAGTGGCAGGAGGAGCAAGATGTGCGCCAAGCACTGAGCGCCGCCCTGAATTCTCCGAATGGAGAATTGCCGCCGAAAGTGGGACCTATTACGGTCCTCACTAACATCGACAGTAAAGGGCGGTATGCGAGATGCGAGGTGCCCCTCAAATTTGCTCATCGCCTGGCAGGTCTAGGCCGAGTTCGGGTCGGATGGACGTCCTGTAGACTGAGGATTCTCGATTAGGGACCTCAGTGCTACAGGTGTCTAGAACGCGGGCACATAGCCCACGCGTGCAAGGGACCGAACCGGTCGAAGGCCTGCTTCAGGTGTAAGAAGGAGGGGCACCTCTCCAAGGACTGCCCTGTTAGAAGAAAAAAAGAAGAAGGTCGGGTTCTTAATCCGGCGAACAATGGAGAAGACTGCCTNTCCGGCTAACAATGGAGAAGACTGCCTACCCCCACCACCACATGGTCCAACCCGGGCAACGGACTCTCTAGTGGGGTCCGGCTAACGAAGGAGGCTACGCCGCGCTGGGATTCGGCTCTAGTGTGAACTTGGGACGGGTCACAGCGCGGTGGTAAGAAGAAGCGAAGGCGACGTGGGCCGCCCTGAAGCAATGCCTAACGGCAGTTCCAGGGCGGTCAACATTAAAGTCGAGAAGGAGGGAAAAAAAAAAGGTCACATAGTTGCCGTGCGGCCCAGCGGGCCCAGAAAGTCATGAATTGCCTGGCGGGACTCATGCCCAATCTGGAAGGGCCGAGAGAGATACGGCGCAGACTTTTAGTCGTACACTCGGTCCTCCTGTACGGGTCCCCGGTTTGGGCTGATACTCTTGAGTATTCGTCCAAAAACCGTGAAGCCCTGCTCAGGGTGCAGAGGCGGGCGGCGATCCGGACAATTTCGGCGTACCGAACGGTGTCCGGAGTGGCGGCGGGTATCCTGTCGTCACTGCCGCCCGCCGACCTCGCAGGGTCATCATATATTCCGATTCCGTCTGAAATTAATAATAGAAAAGCAATCATCAATCGACAGAATATCGATCAGTCTTGTTTCAAGTGGTCCATTTTAGCGAGGCACGTTGGGGTTAATAATAATACACGTGTTAATCAAAAATATTTTAATGAGGAACACAGGTATGATTTCACAGGGTTGACGTTCCCCACACCCGTGTCCTAAATTAAAATATTTGAACGACGAAACCCTAACGTGTCTGTCAATGTGTACGGCTTGGAACGAGACGACGTTAAGATGAAGTGGCTGGTGTATCCTCTAAGAGTCGCCGACCAAGAGCAACAGAATCATTTTGACCTGTTGTACATCGGTGACTCTGAAAAATCACATTACGCATACATTTCCGNACATTACGCGTACATTTCCGATTTTTCGAGGCTCGTGCGCAGCAAAAAAACTAATCACAAATGCCGCATATACACTTGCAAACGTTGCTTCACCAGCTTTGATGATATGCCTATAAAGCATATTCTTCGGGGTCAACAAGCTATGGAGCAACACAAGTTGATATGCGGCAAGAACAAGCCTATTTTACTTGTTATGCCGGTAGAGGGAAGTAAGGTTGAATTTGACGCGTGAGTAAAGACGCAACGGTTACCGTTTGTCATCTACGCCGATTTTGAGGCCTTACTTGAGAAAACAGACGATCGTATGGGTGACTATACTAGGACTGTGCTCAACCCTCGGTGAGTAAAGCGATCTATATCTTAAGATCGACGTGTTGTTGTTGGCTGATGTGTTTGAGAACTTCCGCGACATCTGTATTTCAACATACAATTTGGACCCGGCGCACTATTACAGCGCGCCTGGTTTTAGCTTCGATTGTATGTTGAAATACACCAGGATGACGCTGGAGCTCTTGAACGACTACGACATGCTACTGATGGTGGAACAGGGAATTCGTGGTGGGCTAGTGCAAGCCGTCAAGCACTATGCAAAGGCCAACATTTCTAAGACACCCGATTACGATCCGTCAAAACCAGAATCATGGATCGTGTACCAAGACTGTAAGTAATCTATACGTATATATATAAACGCGCAATAATTGAGCGGTGGTTTAATAACGTTTAATGTTTACAGGCAATAACCTTTACGGTTGGGCTATGAGCCAGCCCATGCCGTACGGTGGCTTCCGGTGGTATAAAGGAGTAGACCTTCTGGCTGACCTCCAATCGTTGTCGGACACTGGTAATACGAGGCGTATATATGAAGTGGACGTATCGCATCCACAAGAGCTGCATGACGAGCACAACGACTTGCCGTTCTTGCCTGTCAACGATGTATCGCCGGGTTCCAAAGAAACCAAACTCATGGCCACTTTGAAACCCAAACAGCGGTACGTCGTACACTATGCCAACTTAAAACAGGCAATCGCACACGGACTGCAAGTCGATAAAGTATGTATAATTAACCTATAAACTATAAGCGATGATACTAATATAAATATTTGTACTGCAGGTGCACCGCGTTTTAGAGTTTCAACAAAGTGCTTGGTTGAAACCATACATTGAGTTGAACACTGAAATGCGGAAAAAGGCGGCAAATGCTTTTGAAATTGCATTTTTCAAACTAATGAACAATGCCGTCTTTGGTAAGTGCATGCTCAATGCTAAAGTGGGTTATTCGATAATTTTTTACATTTTATAGGGAAAACAATGGAGAACATGCGGAAACGCATCCGCATTAAGCTAATCTCCAGTCCCGAACGTCTAAGCAAGCTCGTAAACCAACCAACCTTCAACGACTGTATCAAATACGGTGAAAGGTTGTGCGCCGTCATAATGGACACAAAGATGGTCAAGTTTATCAAACCAATATACGTCGGTTTAGCAGTGCTTGACATTAGCAAGACGCTAATGTACAAGTACTTCTACGACGTATTGAAACCACATTATGGCAGTGCAATCGAATTGGTTTACATGGATACTGGTGAGTACAACCGTACAGTAGAAATATTTTTTATATTTATATATTTTTAATTTTTCTCAGACTCCTTCATATACCTGCTCAGAGTAGGCGACTTCTACCAGGATTTAGCTGGTAGCCCCNCAATATTTATATATTTTTTAATTTTTCTCAGACTCCTTCATATACTTGCTCAGAGTAGGCGACTTCTACCAAGATTTAGCTGATAGCCCCGATTTACTGGTGCACGTGGACGCATCTAGCCTGCCCAAGGATCACCCTTGCTACTCCACCGATAGAAAGAAGATGCCCGGCTTGTTTTCAGACGAGACCAGTGGCCTCACTCTCTTTGAGATCGCTGCACTTTGATTAAAGTGGTACGCATTTGACATGGAAGGCAGCGAACTCATAAAGTCTAAGGGGATCCGCGGGCACGTCGTCCGGAACCATCTGTCTTTGGACGATTACAAACGGTGTTTGTTCAAAGACGATGGTGACGATGGNTTGTTCAAAGTCGATGGTGATGGTGACGATGCGTCAAAATGAGCATTGGCTGGAGAGAATGTCCGTGCGGTCATCGAAGTGATACGTGGTGGTCAGTCTCCACTGACATTATCGTTACCCTACACTCCGTACCGACAGAACGTGTCAATCCGTTCGTTTGAGCACGAGGTACAAACTTTACGTACAACCAAGTTGGCGCTTAACCGATTCGATGATAAGCGCTACACGCTCGACAACAGAATCGACACGTTGGCCCACGGACATTATGCCATACCACCACCGGAAGACCTATAGTTTTTAAGTTATTATCATTGTAAAAAAATATTGCTAAGAATTGAAATTTTTTTTTTTTGTAAATATACATGTATATAAATAGTTTTAAAAATAATTTTTTAATGTAACATAATGTAGTAAGAAATTGTATTTTTTCTAAAAAATATATGTATATGCGTATACATATCTGTAAATATATATATATATATATACTACAACGTTTTTTTCTCTTCTGTACAGTACAATAGTTGTATGTGTAAGATGCCATAGTATTTAAACTATAGTTACGTAATGAGATGTCACATTTTGATTGTAAGGTATTATCCACCAAAACTCCGACACAGTGTCTCTACTACTTTTATAAACAGCCCACTGCATACCATACATAGTACAATGTGCTACAAATACCATATTGTATACTAAATTTGCTGTATATATTTAATGTGTAAAACTCTTCTTTGTACTGCTTAGTACTACAGACTTATATTTAATATTCATTATACACAAATACATATAGTGTAAATAAATAAGACAAAATTGTATAACATAAAAAAATAGTATATTTTATTGAATTTTTAATCTTATAAGTTTTTTTTTTTTATTTTATATAAATAAGTTTAAAAAACAAGACAAAATATTAACAAATTACTGAAAATCAAACAAATATGCATTTCTACTTTTACCTCTATATAATAAATGTAATTTGTCATCATTGTTGATATTGTAAGCTTCGATTTCTTCATTAGTTAATTTCAATCTCGGAATAAACACATTCATATTGTTGAATAGACAACCAACAACGACAACCCCATTTCGTGTGATTGTATTTTTCATAGACATGACTTTGTATGGCGTGTGTTCCTCCAGATCACTTAATTTTCAATATCTTTTTAATGTACTCTGATCGTTCAACTGTTTCTTTAATTGCTCCATTCTAAAATAAAAAATTAAGAAGTATTAAACAACTCTAAACATAACTAGTAACCAAAGTCAGTAGAAAACAGTTTAAATGAAAAATATATATAAATGTATTACTTACTTTATTTTATATCAAAAGTCTTAGAAATTCTNGTATTACTTACTTTATTTTATATCAAAAGTCATAGAAATTCTCCAGAACAACAAATAATCAGACAAATGGTTTTTGGTATAATCGCTTTAGAAAAGATAATGAGTGAATGAGTCTGAAATTGATGTGACGTTCTTTTATAGGGATCAAAGATCTTGTTTAGACAAGTTTGGGTTGGTTTAAACAGGTACTACACAAACGATGTCGGAAATATGCTGACCTAAGCGTCTGATAAACGATAATAGCAATAGTTATCATAAAACGCGTAGGCGTGAAAAAAGACAACGTTGACCTAAGCGACTAGTAGACAATGATAGCAATTGTTCTCATAAAATACTGACGCCTATGAGCGTTATAATATAGTAATACATTTAATGCCGGAAATATGCTGACCTAACCGTTTGGTAACCGAAGATAACATTCTTAGAAATTATAACGACAGACGTTGTCTTTGTTTTTATAAAATGTAGACGTTAATTAGCGTTATAGTATGAAGATACTTTTAATGTTTGAAATATGCTGACCTAATTAGGTTAGTTTAATTTAAGTTTCATTACACCAAGTTACATTAAATCAAATGGTGATTGCTTTGTTACTGTTGACGGTGTACTATTGTAAGAATTTATAAATCTTAATATTTTTTCTTTCATAGATAGCCTGTTGTACTTATAATCCAATAAATATTTATTTAAGTATTTCTTCGCTGTTTGAACTCCCCTTTCAGCTTGTCCATTGACTGACTATGGTATGGTGGTGACTTAATTATTTTTATATTACACTCCTTACCATAATTATTGAAAACATGAGAATTAAAAGGCGGGCCATTATCAGATACAATTTCTCCTGGTAACCCAAAATATGTAAACATACTTTGTAACACTTCTATTACTTTCTCTACAGTTACTCTATTCATTAATTTGACATCTGCAAATTTACTAAATGCATCAACCAATAATAAATAAGTATTTTTACTAAAATAGAAAAAATCTATGTGGACCCTTTCAAATGGTTTACTTGTTTTTGGCCATCTATATGTCACTACTTCTTTAGGTACATTTTGCGTTTAAGGACAAATCTCACACCTTTTTACCGTCTCTTCTATATCTTTAGCCATATTTCTCCACCATAGTATTCCTCTTGCCTCCATTTTCATTCGCACAATACCATTATGATCCTTATGTAGTAGTTGTAACACCCTTTCTTTTAAATGCTCTGGGATAACAACTCTATCGCCAAAAAACAAACAATCATCCTGCAACCCTAAATTATTTTTCATTTTAAAATACTATTTGCATTCCTCTAGTTTCCCTTTCCAACCATTTTTTACATACTCGATTACTTTTAACATTGTTTTATCCTCTTTATATCCTTTTCTTATTTCTTCTATATTCAAATTAAAATCATTCATAATACTTAACCTGTTTATAGAAATTTCTTCAATCTCAGTTTCTGTTTTTAAAGGTAACCGTGACAACGCATCAACATGCACCATTTATTTGGCTGCTTTATATTTAAAATCATAATCATACATCGATAAAAATACTGACCATCTTTGTAGTTTAGATGCAACGACTACTGAATTACCCTTATTAGGACTAAATATTTCCTTTAACGCCTGTGAGTCTGAGCATAGTGTGAACTTATTTCCATAAATATATTTATGAAATTTTTTTACTGCGAACGCTATCGCTAACGCTTCTCTATGAATCTGTGCATAATTTTGTTCTGCTGGTGATAATGTGCTAGATAAAAAACAAATAGGTTTTTCTTCTCTACAAAATAATTGCACTAAAATTGCACCTACACCATATGGGCTAGCATCCGCATAAACTATGATGGGTTTCTTTGAATCATATATCCCCAACAATTGGTTATTTAGCAGTAATTCTTTACTTCTATTAAATGTCTCGCTACACTTTTCAATTCACTCAAATTTCACTCCTTTTTTAATAATTTATGTAGTTCATGTAATTCACTACTTAAATTTGGTACAAATTTACAATAATAGTTTAGTAATCCTAAATATGCTTTTAACTCATTTAAATTTGTAAGTTCTCTAGCTTCCTTAATTGCCTCTAACTTTTGTTTCATTGGTCTGATACCCATTTCATCTATTGTGTGCCCTAGATAATTAACACTGCTTTCAAAAAATTTACATTTCTTTAAATTTATCCTGATATTAAACTCATTTAATCTAGTTAAAACTTCATCTAATTTTTTTTACATATATCTTTATCTATTGCACCAATTAAAATGTCATCTAGGTAACAAAATACATTCTCTACCTTAGATAACACCTGATCCATAACAGATTGGAAAATAGCAGGCGCACTGGATACATCAAATGGTAATCTTTTGTACCTAAATAATCCTTTTAATGTATTTATAGTTAAATACTCTCTACTATTCCTAGACACATCTAGCTGCTGGTATACTCCGGATAAGTCCACTACACAAAATATTTTACATCCTGATAAACTAGCAAACACGTCATCAGCTTTAGGTAAAGGATAATGTTCAGTCTTAATTGATTTATTTATAGTTACTTTACAATATATACAAATACGTAAACTACCATCATACTTTGAAACTACTACTATAGGACTCGCCCAATCACTATCCTTCACAGGTTCTAGAATACCTTGTTCCACCAATCTATCTATTTCTTCACCCACTTTATCTCTAATACTAAAAGATACTGAATAAGCTTTATGAAATATAGGAGTAACTCCTGGTTTTAATACAATTTCAGCTTTATACTTTTCTATACATTGACCACCTTCTTCACTCACTACTCGTGGGAATTTACTTTTGATATATTTTAAAATAATATCATTATAATTTGTATTTAGTTCAGTATTACTTACTAATTTAATAACACCATTTCCTTTTAATTTATTTAGCCATGATCGACCCAACAATGGAGAAATACTTTTTGTACTCTTAATTACCAGCAAGTTTTATTTATATACATCATCAACAGTATCACACAAACACACATTTACAGATATTGTTCCAATAATACCAAATAACTCTCCTGTAACAGACATGAATTTAGAATTTGTTATACATAGGTTTGATTTACTAAATAATTGTTGATAAGTATTTTCGCTTATCACAGAAGCACATGCCCCTGTGTTGATCTCCATATCCAATTTAATACCATTTCCCATAACCATAATCTTTAACGGACCGTCTACTAATTTATTTATGCTGGTATCACTTGTTGACACAACCTGTCCTACCATTTGTTCTGATAACTCTTTTATAACATCTGATGATCTGACTTGACCTTGATGCCGACGCCAATTTGAATTCGAATATTTTTTTTTTTTTTGATTTTAACTTTGTGTAACAAAAACGTGCAAAATGCCCAAACTTAGAACATTTATGACACTGAATCATTTTTGCTGGACATTCAAAAGTTGACGCATGATTTTTTCCACATTTGCCACATGTGTTTTTATTATTATTACTTCCATAATTATTTAGTTTTCGTACCGCAAACTGATTTAATGGTTTTTCTTCAATTTCTTTTTCTGCCATCTCCCAGCACGTCGCTATTTGGCAAGCACTTGCAAAAGTTAGCTTACTTTCCTTTGATAGCAATGCCCTGAATTTGCTTTCTCTGACGCCAAACATAAAACGGTCTCTTAAAGCTTCCTCCAAAAATGCTCCAAAGTTACAATTTTGAGCCTTTGACTTAAGTTTCACTATGTATTCTACAATACATTGCCCTTCCTTCTGATCTTCTTTATGAAATTTATATCTCTCCGAGATTTCATTGATTTCAGGTGAATAATGTACTTTAAGCTTACTTATTAATTCTTTATAAATTAATTTTTTTGGACTCTTCTGGTACGTCAATTTCTTTAATACCGAATATGCATCATGTCCGATAAAAGATAATAACGAAGCCACTTTTTTAGTTTCTTATACATCATTAAGCACAAAAATTTGCTCTAACCGCTCTATATATTCACCAATATCGTCTCCCGGGACGAATTGCTCTATGCTTCCAAGCATACTTTACGTTTAATTAATTATTTATTTTTATTTATTTATTTTTTTTTACACTTTATAAGTAAAAAAAAACCCAAAAAGAAAAAAGAAAATACGCGGTTTGATCTCATCATCGTCGCCATTTGTTAGGTTAAAGCAATGATGTTACTCCGTTTAGAATTAATAAACAACTGATTATATTTCCGATAACACATACACTACACAATGCTTTTTTACTAAATTATTATCATATTGTAATCATATATACTTGTTTGTCAATTTGTATCATATTAATTATAATTGTCTCTGTATTATTTAAGTATAAGAAAAAGGTGATTCAAGTATATACCACTGAAATTACTAATGGGCAACTCTGACTCATCTATTTTAGATTATATAATTCGCCAATATGAAAAACATTCTAAATTCTTTTGGAATTGTATAACTTTATTTATCTGATTACCTTGAGTCAATGTGAATCATTAGACTCCCATTATTCATTTATGTTGGGGGGTGTTAAGAACCCCTGAATATTATTTTATAGTTGAGTACAGTATAGAATACATGATCGTCCGACTGTCGTCGAATACAGGAATGTGCTGACCAAGGGATTTAGGGCAACCATGGGCAAAGGACTTTCACTGTAGGTACCCTACAGTCAGTCTTGGTTTAGTATGCGCTAGTTACATTCATTCTATATCATTATTCTATTCATTTGTAATAATATTAATAATTAACGTTGAATTGTATTATTTACTGTTTAATCACATTATATATTTTACATTTTAATTGAAAAGTGAGTGTTTTCGTTTTTTTATTAAGTTTAATTCCTTTACCACGTGGGCCCGCACAACAACATACTTAAGTTTTATTTCACAGATCAAACTCGTAAGAACTTTGAAAATGATGATCGCAATATTCACGTTACTATATCCAAAGCACAAAATGAACGGAATACGGGTTTGCACTGCCTTTTTACAATATTTTTTACCCCCAAAAATCATCATTGTCTAATTTTTACAGTATAACTGTTTATTGATAAATAAGCATAAAATACAGAGATTATTACAGATGAATAGAATATATAAATCATTTTGACATAATATATAACATTAACATAGTTTCTTACTAATAAACCAGGATTAATACAATTTATTTAATTATTAAAAGTAGAATAACAAAGATGACAAAAATAATTTAAATTCTTCCTCTCGGGAGGAACTATTTATAAAAGTAACTACTAATCAATTTATGATAGAATCGCGTGTATTATAATATACTAAATAGTGTGTGTTTGTTAAATGTTTATTTAAATTATTTTCTAGAAAAGGATCATGTCCTTCTAAGAATATAATGTATAATTATTCCATGTTATGGTAATGAAGAGTATATTATGACAGTTTGTTCCTTCAGTAGCGCGAGGACCGAGTTTCAAGATTTTAATTTTACCACAAATAACCAAACTTATGCCTCATGCTAAATTACCTAACATGGAACGAGAGCGTTAAAAGCATTTGGCCTTAGTTGATCCGAGATTTGATGATGTGTCATCAGTTGATATGTTGATCGGTACTGATTTATATCCACTTTTATCAACACAAACAGTGGATATAATACACAATCCAGATTTACCTTCAGTACTCATTTGGGTTGGATTATTTTCGTTGCAAAGGTTATCCGAGTCGTCATTTAAATCGAAGCTAGCAATTGAAAACTCAACACAAACATTTTTTCCTTTAAAGAACCGTCCGTTAATATAATACCCACAGCTGAGGAAAATATTAGCCAGAGGTCAACCGGTGACATCACTGTTCCGCGATGCAAAACAAAAGACGATACATTAACTCAATATTTCGTAAGAATTTGTTAGATGAATCATGGGAGCGGTCGATATTACAACATGGGAAAAAGGATATACATGATCACGGTTCATATAGTATGATGGTTTTGAATAGAGTACAAAATGTTCAAAGACAATTGGAAGGTGTAGCGCGAGACAAGCGTAAACGAAAACGGCGCATAGTAGTCAATCGCGTCATATAACTCTGTACAAAACCAATCTTTCAATTATCTTATTCCTTTCTTTTTTTCCATAATGTTGAAACATTAATAAGGTTGCAAGTGGGCTTTTTATATATTGGCCTGTAACAACAACGTGGTTTGCCACTTGCATAACGACTAGCTATAGTAGCAAGGGTTGCCACCACCTAGGCGAGGTGTCACATCTATCAGATATGATTAACGGACCATAGGTGGAATTTAATTTTAAGTTAATTAAAAGTATATTCTAAGTTAATATGTCGTTATATGTATAAATTACTATAATACCTCATGGTTTATTAAACACAATTATGACAATTAAAGCTGTTTGTGGTTGATATGTAAAACATATCGTAGCCCGTGTCTAGATTAAGGAATAGGGATAAATACACGCGAGTAATTAAGTTACTCGCGCAATGAAATAAATATTACGGTTGAAATTAATAAGGAAATTTAATTTAATTGTTAAAAAAAAAAAGAAACATGGACAAAAATGCGAATGCATCAAAAACCATGTCTACAAATAAAGGCAATACAAATAAAATAAAATATTTAAACAAAACAAACAAATATATTACAAACATCACGGACGGTATTGGAACACATCCGTTAATGTTAATCGGAAATTAATGAAGAACACCAGGAGAGGTCTGGACACTCGCTCCTTAGCGTTGGCTAGAAGAAAAGGGAAATACGTGCTCTCCACACATAAACAAAATTAAGTTAATTTATGATAAAATAAAATGAAATAAAATAATTGATAAAATATAGCTCATTACACAAATATAATATATAAAAGAAAACGATACCCGGTCTCTGAAGAGACCCATCCGATGGTCTGGATGCTTCGTCGAAAAGACCTGGCCGTTCGCCGTTGGCAGCTCTACTCCATCATTGTAAAAAAAGTGTCAATAAATAAATAAACGTGTGCACCCTAGCACGGTCAATGACAGAAGAAAGAATAGAGAAGAGTCAACACCGATCTAACGGCAATTTCAAATCGATAACGGCCAGTCTTTTTGGAAGGGATTAATACTGATAAACAATTCGATTTTAATTATATTTCTCTTTTATCGCCTTATCTAGCGGTCAGAGGCAAAATAATGAGTGGTTGACACCGCTGTGTCAGAAAAAGGTTCTTTCGCGCGATAAAATAAATAAGTAGACATAACAAAAAATCATAAACGGTCCACCTTCGAATTTGTGACGTTACAAGGTATAAGAGAATAATTAAAGATTAACTAATAACTAACAAATCAAGAAATAAATGAAACTTGAAAATCATTTTTAAAAATACAATATTTATTATTAGATAAAATATATAAATTATTATTTTTTGAAAAATACAATAGTTAGCGCACAAAAAATAATCTTGAAAAAAATTAAATTTTATTCTTTGGAAAAAAATTTGAAAATTTTTTAAATAAGATCTTATAAATTATTGTGTATCAATTAAATGTGATACGAAAATATACTGCATCTTAAGTGTTTAAAATTAAAAAAATATTTTTTATTAAATAGTATTAAAATTTAATAATACAATTTTTTTAAATTAATCAATTTTTAGTCTATGATTTGCCTATTTTTTTATTTTTTTAACCTAAATTAAACAATTAAGATAGATTGATTACAGCGTAATCTGATATATTATTAGTAATTATGATAAAACTCTATACGAATTTTTATATTTTTGTATTTTGTAATTCTAGAGCGTTTTGAACACAATATCGAAATAATGTTTTTAAAAATTACTAAAAGAAAAAATTATTTAAAAATTTTATTCGTAATGTTAGTCTTACGCATATTAAATAATTAATAATTGCATATTGACGCTTAATAAATTACATTTTTGTTAATACACATCTTAATATAGACACGGTATTTTTAGGTATGAATATTACAATAAATAATAAAAAAAAATTTTTATATTAATTCATTTCATAGCATAGTATCACTAATTGTATAAATTTATTGATATGAATCTTGAACTATTTGTTTTAAAATTGACTATAATTTATTACAATATCGCCAATGTAGAATGTGAAATTGAAGAAACATCATACTTAAATTATTTAATTGAAATAGGTGATCATTTGTGTATTCAAAATGGATGGAAATCTATGGGAAACTTACACTTGAAACTTGATTCCATTGGATTTTTAAGAGTCCAAGATTTAGTAGCGCAAAAACTCAACGACAAAAATTTGCTAAGTGTTTTCTATAATATTATTGATATTTTAAACTACAGGTATAGCGAAGTACTTTCAACATTTGTAGAATTATTAAATATTGTTGTTGATATATGTGTACACTTTTTAGACGCTAATGTATTGGAAAACTTTAAAAATTGTACAATATTACTAGTAAAAGTAATAAACAATTCATTGACAATGTTTGATAATATATACAATGCTATGACATTTATAAGTTATATTGACTTTAAACTTGTCTATCCCGAGTTAGAAACTAACCCGTACACAATAGTTGATTACATTTATGAGATA